CCCCCAGTAAGTACCTGTGATTCTTAGTGATTTCAGCGGAAGCCAGCTTGGACCACCATTTAGCAGGACTAGCCTTTTTTTATTTAATTATATAAATAAATAAAAACTAAGTATACATTTTTTTTGTGACTTGTAGAGTTGATAAGGCTATGATTGCCTTGATAGAGACTGAAAGGATCGGAGAAGAGCGTGAATAGCTTTTAATGTGTCTGCTCACTAGTTTCTGGCAAAAACTCAAGTACGTAAGTCGATCGATGCCTCAGATGAGTCTGCTAGCCTGTTTTGGCATTTTTTAAAATTTATTTTTTATTTCCTTATTGAGATTAGTAAGATTTTCTTACTCGTATCAGTAAAATCTTATCAGTTCAGAAATTCTGATGAGTGATGCGGTTTCCAGGTGCTAGGAAAACAGGAAGAATGCAATCAGAAAGTTGGTTTGTGCTAATATATCAGATAGAAGAACACGTGGAGAGCTGGCTTGAAGTTTAGAAAATCACTTCTTGTGAACTTGAGACTATTATCTGGAACTGGTTTAATGATTAACACTTGATGCGAGAAATTAGGCAGTATGAATTAGCTTAGGATGTTGACTTAGAATACTGTCTAAAAGCATTACCAATTTAGTCCCCTTTGTTACAGAAGGTCAACAAAATGTAGGTGACTTGCATAGAATATGAGTGTGTGTTGATTTTGGGTTGATAACATGCCAAGATTGAGTCACAGAAATTCGCAGCAGAATTAATTTCAATAGAGGTAAAAATTGACTTGAATTCTGTGTTGCTGTTTGTTTTGTTGCACTTTAATGCAGCCAGTGTTCCAAGGAAGGTGATACCAAAACACGGTTCACAAATATGTCATATCTGATAGAAGGTTGTCGTATAATATGGTGAAGTGTCCCATTTTCAGCTGAGCAACGTTAGTTCTGCTCACCTGGGTCTTTTGAAAACTGAACACTCAGGTTTCTTAACTGCATGAGACGTGCGCATCCGCACACTCTGGATGTGGCACGTTTCCCGCTTTTTTACATATTGTTGTTATGTTCCCATCATCTCTGGTCTCTTAACATTTTCACAAGGACATCGGTGGATATATTTGGCAAAGCAAAGCACTCAGGCTCAAACAAAACACTTTACTTGGCTCCCAGCTGGAGAGTTTGAAGACCTCTTGCTGCCTAAATTTAAACTTTCACCCATGAGCTGTTGTCTTTTGAAACTTACTGTCACTTGCACCAGTAGATAAAGTTGCTTTCGTTCCCGCATGATCTTTTGTGATGCCTCATTGTTTGCTGATAGCTTTGTTTTTAAATGAAAAATGAGATATCTTTTGACTTTCTCCCTCTTGTGTTACAGCTGTTTAGAAGTTAGTATATGAAGGGGAACGAGATCTGACTTGAAAATAATTGTAGCCTGTTCTCAGCATAGAAGGCATAAAAGCAAAGAAAAATGTTACATTCCAAGAGGCCTTTTTATTCTTAAATTACTTTGCCTGTGATCCACAAGGAGGTATTTTGAGTTCCTGAAAGAAGGAACTAGATTGATCAAATTTAATAAAATGACATGATTTTTTAAAATTTCTTCTGGTTCTTCCCTATGAAAGAAAAAAATGTATTTCTACTGAATGTGTATTTTTTTTTTTTTTCAGTGTAATCAATTCTGTATGTGTATTAAAATAAAACTGTGTTAAAATACACTGATTTCACCACCCACCCCCTGCCAAGGTGGGTAGTGGTAGTGTGAGGAAAACCAGATATGGGAAGGTAGGAGTAGCAGCCATTCAGGTGAAAGAGCTGTTCGTCGTGAGGAATGTGGAGCATCATGGCAGAGTTGGCAGTGGATTAATCTGAAACACCTAGCTTTCATTTCTAGGTTAGTAGTTCCCAAACTGTTTATGAATTTGAGGCCTGTTTCTGTTAGTTTTGTGACCCCCAAATACTAATGCAAATTTGTTGCATGTGCATTCTCATACTTTACTCTCGTAATGATATATTTTTTTTTAATGGAATTTTCTGGTTAAGTGGTTCAGTTTGGGGTAAAGCTTCGCAGCAATTTTCTTTTTTTTTTTTTTTAGCCTGTTGCTAACCATGAGGTGAAATTTGCGTTGTTCCTCCCCAAATCCTTTGAGGGAGAAAGTTTTATGTGGACTTTGTCCTTTTGTTGTGGGGTAAATGTCAGTTAGTGCTAACGAATGGCTTGCTTTGGAAGAATTTCTGTCAGTAAGACAGTCCCTTGGGGGGTTCCTCCCTTGGGGACCCCAGCCTCGCAGAGCAGCTCCGCCGGCGCGGTGGCTCACCAGAGCGACTCGCTAGTGGATATTTTGCACTTTGCCCTAACGAAAACATTCTTTTTCACCTCAAGAAGACCAGAAGAAGAAGGTTAAAGTACATTTCAAGGGGAAAAATTCAAATTATACTAATTTGAAACAATTAACTGAGGAACTTTACTAGTGGGCTCTTTTCCTAGGATCCTGAATCTGAGCAGCCAGCCGTGTTTTGGCTTTCATGAGAAACTCCTGCCCTTCCTTTGTGCTGTAATCAGGCCCGTGTGGCCGCCTCGTCACTGGTGCTTGAGGTAATTTGTCCAAAACCTACTGCAGGCTTTTTAATGCCGTTAAAAGTGTTGGCATATATACAACTGTATTGTTCACGTAAGTATGTTGGAGAGAGGATGTTTTCTCAAGAGTCCTTAATCAGGCGCTGGACAATTACGGCTTTTACTCTGCCAGTGTTTCTGTTGAACTTTCTGATTCTTTACGCCAGAAATTCATTCTGCTCTGAACAAATGGTGTGTGTAAGGTGGTCTCTTGTTGGTTTGGATCTTGACATCTATACTTCATCACTCATGCATGTAACTCCAGAAAGCTGGGAAAAGTAAGGAATCCTCTGAACACAACGTATGCCGACTCATTCTGATGGTAGATTGAAAGTATTAGTGCTCACAGAGGAGCTTATTTAATATTCTGCCAGCCCTGTTCTGTTATTTGGGGGCAGGGGGAAGCCATTTGTGGGATCTTTAAAAAAATATACGGAGAATAATATTTGATTTTGTGTTTTTGAGACCAGTACTTTGGATTTTCAACCATTCTTCACTGAAAACTCTGCAATAGATAGTGGAGTAAATATAGAACTCTAATGCTCTGTAGCTTAATTGTAAATTGCCCCCCCCCCCCCCCCCAGCATAGTGTTTTGTTACTGATCTCCACTGCAGCGAAGACTCTTAACCCCTTTTTGTGATGTTTCAAAGGAGTTTATTAATCCTCTAGGCACCAGGGTGAAAATTCTGGTGTTCAGACATTGCCCAAGGTAACACAAGCAGCCCTTGCCCTCTTCTGCAAACTCATGGTGGGCCAAATAGACAAAACAAAAGAGTGAAATAATGAAGCATGTAAGCAAGATGACAGCCAGTAGACATCATGCAAACTGGTTTAGAGTAATTGTTCCCTTTATTACATAATAGGAGAAATAACAAACAATTTGACATAATCAATGATTTTGAAAGAGGAGGAGGAGGAAAAAAGGGTGTACAGGACTAAAGGTGAGGGGTAGCAGGTTGTGAGAGGGGTAGAGGCTGTGAAGGATGGATGAGATGAGGTTGGAAAGAAGCCTTTCCAAGCGTGCCAACCTTACCCAGGCCACCGGCCCACGGACGGGGCAGCGCACCTTTGTTTGCCTGATGAGACCGACAGCAGAATTCCTGCCGCGTGGCGCGCGCTTTGGCGGATTTATGACTTCAGAGTAATTCAGTTTTCTTTCTTGCAGGCCACCTAATGTGGTAATGGTTTCCTTTGTTTAAAACAAGTTTCCACTGTACTGAGACTTCTTTAATAATGCTATTTATCTGGCAATAAAAGGAATTTGGAAATAAAATAAATGGAGGATACACTCTTGAGGGAGGATGGTGATGTGTTTCTCAGCTGTCTGCTAGATGCAGATTGTATTTTAGTAGCTGGCTAAGAATTTGTCAGTGCCTGCTGATTTTTTTTTTTTAACTTTATTTTATTTAAACTTTGTGGCTTTTTTCCATATCTATGTACAGAAAATCAGCAATTTGCTATGATTAGTTTGCACTTACTTCTTCCTTGGTATATGTTTAAGCAAAAAGTAATTTCCTAGTTAGCTGATTTATTTCATTTCCTGGCTTTCCTTCATTTAGGGTTGTGTAAGAAAAATATTTTTAATGGTGGTCGATGTTCACATGTCCATTCTAAATGGGCATGTGAAATTGTGAGACATGTAACCTGTGGAATAAACTACTCCAGAAAACTATTCCCCTGCACAAGTACCTTTGAGCTTTCAGTGCTGTCTTCTGTTTGAGCCTTCATGTGGATAGGTGCTTTCTAATTATTTTAATGGCTTTGAGTAGAGATTACTGAAGAAAAAGACAATTCAAGCTTACATATGAAATCTTATAGTACGAGTTCTGCATGTATTTTAGTCAGTCACTGTAATTATGCCTTTTGGTTACTTATGTCTTTGAAAGGTATATTGTGAATTACAAACAACTTGTAGGCAGCTAATGCTTTGTTGTCTTGTATAGTTTTCTTGTTGTGCCAGAAGCGATTGAATAACTCTCACTGTAACAGGAAAAATTTCCCTGTTTTTTTTCTCCTTTTTTTAATCCTCCAGATTCTAAGGTACAGATTTTACTTTTTGTGGACTGCTGAGAAGAAAGAGTGCCTGACTCGGAAGCCTGCTTTAAAATGTCTTCTAGTTTACGAACTCACGTCTTTTTTTCCTCCTCCCCAACTTCCCTTCTGTTTTGCAGCCATAGACCTTTTGTATGGGGGTATATACTGCTTTATGTGTCAAGATTACATATACGACAAAGACATGGAACAAATTGCCAAAGAAGAACAACGAAAAGCTTGGAAATTACAAGGTTTGGTTTTCCTGCCTGAATTTCTTGTTTCTGTTTTTAATCATTCCTGTCCCTCCCATTTGTCAATGGCAAAAAACAGTAAGGGGAGGAAAGAGCTCTTTAGCCGTAGTAGTGCAGGCCTTGGGAGAGAGAGATGTCTAGCTATTACTTTCCAGGAGTTAGACTGTTAGTTTAACATGTGCGCCACACCTAATTGTAGCAGAAATATTTTATTTTTAATTGCAAAACAATATAGAAATATCTAACATTAATCCTCTAAAACTTGCATAATACCAGTCAGATCTGTATTAGGTAGAAAATGTAACAGTCTGCTCCTTTAGGCTAATTTAGGTGATATAGGCAATAAATCTGTTCCCCTCACATGAAATGCCACCCTTGTGTGTGATATTTTTTTATTTTTTTATTTTTTTAATAGAACGTGCCAGCTTACTTACACACCTGTGCTTTCATGGTACACGCACAGTATCTATGTAGAAATATTTACACACAAATATATGTACACACATTTGTTTTATTCAGTTTGCTTTCCCTAATTTTTTCTTTTTTAGCCTTCACCCCAACAGTGGTTTCTCACTACCAGTGTACAATGACAGGTAAGAGGCGTGGGCTGGCGACGCACTTCACTAACAAGCGTCCCTTTGCTGATTATCCTGCCATTTTAGACATGAATCACAGTTAAGAATGCCAGTTTTATCGTGCAAATTGTTTTCCTCTTGCTTGGATATGTTCCAATGATTGAATAATTACAGCAGACTTGATTTCATAAGCCCTTTCCTTGATAGAACTACTCCAAAACAAACCTTTTCTCCTTTTTTTGGAAAGGAAAGGAAGTAGCATTTACCTTTAACTGAGTAGTTTTAAGCATCAGTTATAAAAGCTTGTCATCATCCATTTCCAGTGGCCTCTAGGGGGTATGTTTTCTTAAAGTGGGAAAGTCTGTATTTGAAGACAGATGACTTCTGTCTAGTAATGTCTCTTACTGAATCCATGGCATCCTGTTTCAATGTGACAGCCTTAGTCAGGGCTGATATGACTTCAAACCATTCTTAACCTCATTTCCAATTTTAAAAATAGCAGCGAACATCGTATTAACTAGAGCTTTTCTCATGGCGTTTCAAAAGTATAGCTGCTTTTACTTAGTTCCTACTACAGAACCCATTCTACTTTCTGCTTATTCCCGATTTGGAGGGAACTGAGTCAGAGGAAAGGAGGATAGTGAGATTGCCAGCAAGTCCTAGAACAAGAAAATACAGTTTAAAATGCTGTAGCACAAAGCACTGGTTTTCAAAGCAAGGCAAAATGGAAACATGGTTTTAAACCTCTCACTTAGGCTATGCACCTCTTCTGAAAACTCCTTCAGACCTTTCTAAACTGTGTTGTTTTGCGCACCAAATTAATCAACTTCAACAACATAACCCTTCTTCATGATGCTATAGAGGAGGAAGGCCCCCCAGTTCCTTATCTTTGAACATGTAAACTCCAAGAGCAGCTTCTTAAATATGTTGCCCTTAACAAATGATATTTGTGCCTTCTGGACTGAGATGCAGCCGGTTTGTCCTCCTTGGACGTTTGGCTGCTATGGCTTACATTCTAGGGTAATTACAGCTATGAGATTGTTCATCTTCTTGTCTCAAACCAGAAAGTCGTGCAGCGAAGGGAAGAATCACTGAGAGTAACTGCTGGGCAGAAAAACCTTCTCTGCACTGGTTATCTGACTAATGAACAACATATAAACATGCATTCGTATATGTTTATTTAATATGAATATGAACTCTCCTGTCCCTGGAGAACAAATCTGTAATGACCAATGAAGATATAAAATGAAGGAATAGACAACAACACACTTCAAATTACTGGAGTACACAGTATAGACGTTGTTCTTCTTTAAAGTCATGGCATAGGATCTTTGGTTTTATGGCTTTTCGTTGTGAAGCGATGTGCGTTTCCCTGAAAATTTATCTGAGGAATGAGAAAGGGAGATACATGGGAGAAATAATGAAGAATTAGGTCATCTTTTTTCCTTCTTTCTATTGCTTCAATCCGTCCCCTCCTTCCCATAGTGACTCATGTTATCTGGAAGATTATAAAGTATAAAGGGGGAGGAAACCCATCTTGCTCCAAACTGGATGTCAAGATTAGTACAAACCTCAACTCGGTGTCTTGGGTTTGTATTTCCACCACAGAGTTAGTTTATCTCGGATAGTGTGGCCAACTTAGCTGAAGAAGTGAATCCAGATTGCAAAAACTGAGATTGGCTTAAAAATTGGAGTGTCAAAATTGTATATTTTGAAGCTTCTATCCACAGTGCTTGAAGGGTATTAGTTTATAGTCTACTAGATGCTCACATAACAACATGATGCCTGGAGAAAAAACTTTAAGAAAAACCCCAAATATAATGAGATTCATTTCATACTTTTGTAATATTAACTCTTAGTGTGATGAATTCCCATGTCCAGCTGTAGTTCAGGGTTATGTGATATAACTCTGAACAAGTTGCAACTCTGCCATATTTTTTTTTTTCTATGGTATTGAATATTCATTAATAACGAAGGAGATGAGAATACACGGAGCCCTTCATTCTAATTAATGTTTGGATCTTTGGGAGGGGAAAAAGGGGGATTTGCTGAAGTAGAGCAAAGCAAACAATCTATATTAATTATTACCTGCAAAAATTGTGACTTTTATAAACTAGAGCCTTCATTGCCTTTTCCTTCACTCATCCATGTGTCCTTGATAAAGTCTCTGAAAAATGACAATTTGTGTACTTTACCTAATAAAATTAATTCTTGGATGGAGATTTCACATGCTGACTTGAATCTCTGGCTACTTTATTGCATCATTTTTAAAATGATGAATTTTCACTCCTATAACGCTACTTTCCTTTAATTGTAAATGGTAACCTGTGCATGTTTTGCAAATCTTTGTTTAAGGTAGTTTATATTGGAGGTTTTGGCATGTTTGTGGGTGTTATTAAACCTTTTATTAAATCTTTTTCCTTCTTTGTGTATTTTGTTGTTGGGTTTTGTGTTTTGGTTTGGGGTTTTTTTTTTGTTTGTTTGTTTAAATTTTAAACACTGAATCATTCCTAATAAATGGTTCTATCTTTTCCAAATTTTCAAGAATAATAAAACCTCAATATTCTCGTTAAATTCTATAGCTGGAACAGAACACTCTTTAATTTCTGTCCTTCACTTAACTTGTGCTCTTTCTAATGAAAGGCTTCTGTAAGAAAGTTTTCTGTCTGTTTTGCTCTGTGTTTGTTGTGGCTTTAACTGTACATGGTTTTCTGTTTGGTTTAATTTCTTTTTAATTAAACAATACTTGATTCACCCAGAATCCTGCAAAGTAATCCAGCCTGTCATGTTTAACTTTACTTGAAGAGTTGCTCTTGTGGAATGCTTTGGTCCTCATCCTCTATAAGCATTTAAGCTATATAATTATATATAGATATATATAAATATATATGAATAGTCCCACTGACATATGTGGCACTATTGCATGCCTAAAGTTGAGCGCACATGTGTTTCCAGGTGTGAATTTTGTTATATCTCATTTAAACCAGGATTTAAACATATCCAAGGTTGGGGTTTTTTATTTCCTTATGAGATTTCATCCCACTGTCAGATTATACTGTGTTTGGCCATGTTTAAACTACAGCGAACCCAAATGCAAGAGTTCAAGTCTACAGCTGGCCAGTGCAATAGCTGGTACTAACGTGGTGTTGAAAATTATTTTGAGCTTTTTCACAAATCAATTTATATAAATTCCTAAGGGAGTATTACTAATATGAGAAGGGTTGCTGAAGACATCTAATATAAAACTTGTTGCAAGCCAATGTTCTGTCATATGTGAACTGTCCATATGTGCGTCTCTAAAGTTGCTTCATTCATTTGCCTATGTATACTGTAGAGTGTATTCAAAGCATTGCAGCTGTTTATCTCATCAATCTGTTACCCAGTAATTAGTTTCCTTTTCTGTTTTCCTGGGTGTGTAGCTTGATGCTGAACCTTGGATAAAGGAAAGGGACTATATGATTCTGGTATTCTTTCTTATGCTTCTTGCATAATCTGTTGTTGAATCAAATAAAGTGAGTGATGGGTGCATCCATGTAAATAAGAATTCTCTAGTCCTCAAAAATCTGAAAATGAGACCTTTTATTACTAGAACCTGGAGGGTCAGTAGTAACTATAAATTGAACGTTTTTGGGTGGGTAACTTCTGACAAGCATAGCTATTTCTGAAAATGAAGATCAAAGAGCTATTAAAATTTAATGTATATTATGCAGAATGTGTAAGCCTGTAGCTATATTTTCTACTCTCCTTTTCATATGTATGATTTATAATTTATTTTCTGTAGCACAGCACTGTTTCTGCTCCCTGCATTCTGAAAAATAACTCTTAATTGACTTTAATCCTCAGTTTTAGAATACGTTGCTTGTCATCTTATTCTTTATTTTTAATGCCATGATGCTTTTGTGACTTGCTATAATTGAACTTGCATAGTAATTTCTCTGTGCTGCGTAGAATGCTGCAGCAGGACTTGGCAGTCAGCACATGAGTCTTCACTGTTGTGTTTTTCTTGTATCAGATTTACACGGAACACAACTCAGTGCTTACTTCAGATCTATGCTCTGTGCTACTCACTTGACTCTTTTCTACTGCGCTTTCCTTTGAACAAAAGAAATGTATTGGAAATAGTGTTGATGTTTAAAGAAAATAATGACAGATTTTAGCTGCAGCTCATGAGAAAGGCTAGTTAAGTATTTCCACAGTTTGGGTTGGTTGGTGGGAGGAGGGTTATGTTTAAACGTACTACTAATTGCATTTTTAGGAAATATTAGATATGTCAGTAAAGTTAGTGTTTAGAACTTGCTAATATCTGGTCCTACATCAGTGATTATAAGGAGAGGTCATACTCTGTAATGGTATACCCTCAGACATGTAGAAACTGTGTTTAGTATATGGAATTACTAAATTCTGCTGTTCATCTGTAAAGATTAAGCGTGTATCTGTCCATTAAGTTGGGTCAGTTTTGATTTATTTAATAACTCGTCGAAGTATAGGGGATGAGGTTTCTTGGTTATCCTGTATCTTCTCCTAAAATCATAGGGTGGTTCTGTCATTTGAGCACACCTCCTCTGAGCACAAAGAAAGGCGTTTCTGAGTAATAGTGGATTTAATCTTGTGCTGGAATTTCTTTTTAACTAAAGGAGGATTATAATTCAATAGTGGAAAAATTATTTGGGCTAGATATTCTTTTTAAGTGAAGAAGTTCTTTTCTTCTTTTAGTTCTTACTTGTTGGAAGATTGGTTGATATTTTTCTAAACAATATTTTTTGGGGGGAACGGTAGAAAGAAATCAGTCTCTTGTAGTTGTACGTAGATTAAATCTAACTTAATGGACAGCATGTTGAAAGTTTTTACTTGAACAGAGTTTTTAATCCTTTTACTAAACAACTTCCTGAAACTTTCTTTTCGTCTGCTTAGGCATTGGAGAGAAGTATTCAACATGGGAGCCAACCAAACGAGAGTTAGAATTGCTACGACACAACCCCAAGCGAAGAAAAATAACCACAAACTGCACCATAGGTAAGTTCTAGAAATCCTTTCCAAAGCTGATTCTCAGCCACTTGTATGTTCAAAATTTTGTGATGGTTTTTCATAAATATTTGTACCCTGAGGTAATTGTAATCAATTTCCTTAACCATTAGGATAACAAAATAAACTTATTTCACACTACCTTTTTCTCCCTGTAGAAGGATATCTGCTCTGTCCCTTCAGGTACTAATGATGATTCATCTATGTAACAGCTACAAAACAGAACTTTTTTTTTTTTTTGACAATATGCATTTAAAGGCTTTAGCAGAAACCAGTGATGTTATCTCAACTCGGTTTTCATCAGAGATCCCATGCTGGTGTTTGAAGGGAAATCCTGTAGTTCAGATGTATCCTTAACCATGGCAGTCTATTGGTAAATCTGTTTTTAGCAGACAGAATAAGCACAGTGATGTCTTTCTGCTTCATGTTCTAAACTGTAAATAGGGTCTCTTCAATTTCATATTGACTCTGAAAAGATGTAATTTATTCTCCAGTGTGTGTCAAATAGCAGTTTTGAAATGCATGTCAAATGTTTAATGTTTAGAGTTCAGTAGTCTGGAGCAAAGAACTCTGAAATGGGGGCGTATCTACTTACGGCTGGAGAGTATTTGGGTAAGGGTGATGAAAATGAACAACGCTCTCCAATTTTTTTCTGCTGTCTTTATGTTGGCAGAGTAGGGGGTTTATAACCAGCTTCCTGAAAAGCTCTAATGAAGATTTTTGGGCATTTTCCTACGCTTCTAAATGCACAGTAACATTTTAATGGTGACGGTACAAGGTCAGAGATGTAGCTATAGACATTGGAAGTAGGAAACTGTTTAAAAAGTTTTTTCTAATTTTTAAGCTACTTACTGTTTTATGAGAATGCGTCACACTTTTAGCACATATTTGCTTTTGTCAAAATACACTGAACATAATTGCTAAAACTTTCTAATGTCATGTTTCTAATCCAAAATATGTGTATATTTGGAAGAATGGACTGAGAAGCACAGAGTAAGTTGTAGTAAATTGAAATGTACCAGGACAAGAATGTAAGGTTGTATATAATGGTAATTCTAAAGAAGGGACCTATGCATTTGCAATAGTGGAACAGGAAAGACAATTGTAAAAACATCTGGACTTTAGAAACTTCAAGCAGCCTAGGAAAAAATAACTAGGCAAAGATTGCTTGCATCGTGTTCACACTGGCAGTTTGTGTTTTATGAAATTTATATTTTGTATATTTATAATATACAATTTATATTTTGTAAATTTATATTTTGTATATTTATAATATACAATTTATATTTTGTAAAGACGGTTACAAATTACTTAACAGAACTGCGCAGGGGGAAAAAAGAGTTTGATAGAATTTTGAAGGTGAATGTGACCTTTCTGAAGAATTGAAGCACGTTTCTGTGTTTCTCTTTCCAATTTGAAGGAATGCTATGCCTACTCTTAAAGGATTTTAAATTTTTCAGTCTGTTTAAAAAGGACATGTCTGGTTGCATGAAATCTCATACAACGCTGCATGGGCGGGGGAGCGCTCATGAAACACAGGGGATAAGGGAAATGACTGATCTCTTTACTTCTGCAGGCATGCTTTTAATAATTTCTCCTACTGAGCCCTGGAGCTGTCTATGTGCTGAGATTTAGAAAGAGAAAAAAAATCAAAGCACCCAGGAGACATAATGCAGTTTTGGGCTACAGTTAAAAGCAGAAGACTAGCTTTCTTTCTCAAAAATACATTGGGGGTTTAGCTGAAGGAAGAAAAGACCTGCCATTGTCCTTGAGCCTTTTCTCTCCATCTAACCTGCTGCTAAATATATATCTGCTTCAGAGGCTGTTTCCCTTCACTTTCCTCACATTGACTTGTCTGTTTGCAGTTTCAGATCAGTGAAGAGCCTATATGCAGACTGAAATGCTGCAATTATTTGGACATTCCCATTTCTCTCTTTTTCTAATACTCAATTCTTTTTACATCAAGTTTTTATCAATCCCATAGCAGATATTAGTGAATCCAGTTTCTCTTCTGAGGTAGGTAAATGGCCCAGAGAATAGGCGTAATGTCCAGTTTTATTGATTCTGAAAATGGAGATGATGTTGGTAACCATCTATAATAAGCATTGCACATCTGTTGATCAGCTCTGTTTACAAAAGAGTCTGTTAAAGCATAACCAGCTGCCTTTTAGGTATAAAATGCTCTCTGCAAAGCTGTTTTAAGAGGAAGGCACTGGGTGTTCGCTGCTTTCTGTCTTACCTCCAGAGATACACCGATGTCAGGTGGGAGTCGGCATGTTTAACTGCTCTGCAGTGACCTTCTGCAATGGTTACTGTGCCTGTGCCTCTTTCAGCATTTGTGCAAGACAAGTGTATTAGTATTATAACTAAAGTAGGTGGGACAATACTCTGAAACCTGGACAGGCATGGCCTTGAAATGATATATTTAACTTGTATGGGAAGGCCTTGCATGTGATTTTGAGCTCTAATAATAAAATACATTAAAGTTGATGTTCATATCTAGAACACACTTAAGTGGTAAAATATATCTTGTTGTAGTTTCCTCTTACATCTATATTATTTGCATGACACCCGTTTAGGTGAATGTTTTACTCTGTGGCAGAACCTTCTTTGTACGTAAAGGGATTTTTTTATTCCAGATTTGTAGCAATCGCATGATGCTTCTGAAACAGCTGGATGTGTCTGCTACTTTTTGAGCTGTTAGAACTTTTATACAGCTGCAGGATCCTTTATCTTTCATTGACACCATAAATTAAATCTGAAGAATACTCAGTCATGAAATGAATGTGTTATAATGGAGGATTGAACTGGTAGTTCATTAGAAGAAACACTGTGCAAAACAAGCTTCTGATTTAGTGAAACGAAATGATGTTTTCACTTACATGACAATTTGAAACCCATTGAAGAAGGAATTTCTTGTTCACATCCTTTAAAAAATAAAAAAAAGCAACACCTCCACCCCCCCAAAAAATAACAACCAAAACCCAACAAAACAAAAAAACCTCAACTAAACCCCATAAATTTTGCTTGGCTCTCTTATTAAAAGTGTGTATTTCCATCTCATAGATCCTTTTCCAGCTAGTGAGAAGATAGATTAGGTAACTTTGCTTGAATCACTATTTTGCCATTGAGCAAATTGCTCTTCGAATGAAAAGTTGCATCAGGCACTGCTACAGGGTGTAGAACCTGTGCTGATTCCTGCCTTTCTGGGGTATAAACAAAGGGCTGTTCCCAACGTTGCACTTAAGCATCTTCAGAGTGACTTGGAACGCACTGTTAACCAGGTGGAAACGTTGAGCTGTCTACGTGTAAGAAGACATGATAAAAAATCCTCGCGTAGTGTAGATTTTATGTGAGGCATTTCATATCCTGATGTCCTGAGAGACTTGAAATGTCGATGGTGTTTCTGTATTTCAAGACATTCGAGAAAAGCATATGGTCTACTCGGAGAAAAAACATCTGCTCTTTGGTAGAAGTATCAGCTCAAGACATTCTCAGACCTTGTGCCCCAGATGCTATAGCGTGCTGCCCTTTTCATTGTGCTGGCACAGCTGTTTTCAGATCTAGATCAGACTGAAGGGATGGTGTATTGCGGGAATGCAGAGGGTGAGTGGAAAGTAGACATTTCTAAGTAATTGTTACGTTGTTCTCAGCAGCAGTACGGAATCATGGCCTAAAATATTGAATTCATAGAATATTTCTTTTCATAGAAATGCTCGTCTTGATTTTGGGTTGATGCTGGTGTTTCAAGCATCCTATATGCACCAAAACTTGCATACAGAAAATTAGACAAGATCTAACAATTATTAAAATAGATTCTAGCAGCATAAAAGGAAAATCTAATTTTTTCAGTCTCTCCTTGCCTGTGAGGAGGCTGCCTGCAGCAAGAGGGTGGTGACCAAGTACCAAGTTCACAAGCAATTTTTTTATCATGGGGTTGCACTAGAAGTGAAAGTAATACAGTACCTTTTGGGAACTATTTTCCAAACCTCGTCTTGCTCTGCTGTCATTAATACCCCCAGCAGATCAGCTCTCCCGGGAACACGGAGTATTAGCTTGGGATCAGCTGGTCTCTGATTAGCATATGAAGTGACTTTGTGGCTAAAGATTGGTGTATTAACAATGGGAAGAATTAGACTCCCAAGGCACGGGGGTAATTAGCAGGAGCCACCTGGGATTCCCATTTGCAGCCTTGCAAAAAGGCAGAGGGGGTAGCCTTTATCGGGGAATGAGCAAATCCTTTTCAGAAAGAATGATGAGGTGTGGGGGAGGTGGCAAAAAAACAAGAGCTACATGGGAGTAGCAGGTGGTTTTTGCAGCTGTGCGAGGCTAAGCAGTGTGATGTGACGGAGAGCAGCATGAGCGGAATAAATATTGCAGCAGAGCTGCCACGTAAAGGTGGCAAGGGAAGAGGAACCGTGGCCTGGAAATATTTCTGGTTCTCTAGACAAACTACCGTGACCGTGTCTGCTTCTGTAGAAGTAGCAGTAACTTGAAGGTGTTGAAGACTGCGTTAGTGCTTGGAAGTTTTTTGGGAATGTACCAGCTTTCTGGTGTACTTTTTCTAGTTGAATGCTACTTAAGGCAGCGCAAATGGAAAAGCGGAATGAAAAACGTGGCTTGGTACAGCACTGCTTTTTTAGCTGTAACTTAAACGTATAAGTTATTGATTTGTAAGGAATAATACTTTTATATGTGAAATCGTGACCACACAAAGTGCACCTAGAATAGAAGTCTTTTTGATTCTTCAATTTTTCTTAGACTTGTGTGATGAAGGAAAGGCAAACCGCCTTTAAGATTACTCAGGTGACTGTTTCCTCTGTGACTTCATAAATAGAATTCTTCCTCTAACTTCATAATTAGAATTACAGGTTGGAAATCTGTTTCCTAAAAGGTTGGATTAGTAAAATAAAAAAGTGCTACCCTTCTATCAGGGCAATCCTTCTATTGCTGTTTTACCTTGTCATGAGCTCTGACAGTTGGACTGAGTT